ACTCTGAGAAGAATGGGAATCCCAGAACATTTAATCGTGCTAATGCGAAACCTATATTTGGACCAAGAGGCAGTAGTCAGAACAGAGCAGGGAAACACTGCATGGTTCAAAATTGGGAAGGGTGTATTCCAGGGATGCATCCTGTCTCCATACCTTTTCAACATGTATGCAGAGCCGATTATCTGAGAGGTTGGGCTCTATGAGGTGAATTGTGGCATCAGGATTGGTGGAAGTTCTATTAACAATCTGCGTTATGCAGATGACACAACCCTGCTTGCTGAAACTGAGGAGGACCTCATGCACTTGCTGCGAACCAAAATATGACTTTGAGTCTATCACACCTGAATCTCAAAACCATCTCAGGAACAGGTTTGAGACCTTGAATACTAATGAGCGAAGACAGATGAGTTGTGGGAGGATATCAAGAATATCACCCAGGAAGAATGCAAAAGGTCATTTCAAGGACAGAGTAGGAAGAAAAGGCCAAAATGGATGTCAGAAGAGACTCTGAATATTGCATTGGAGTGCGGGAAAGCCAAAGCAGAGGGGAGAAATGGAGATATTAAAGTGCTGAATAGAAGATTTCAAAAGGCAGTGCAGGAAGACAAAGTAAAGTATTACAACGAAATGTGCAAGGAGCTGAAGTCAGAAAATCAAAAGGGCCGAACTTGCTCAGCATTTCTTAAGCTCAAGAAACTGAACAACAAATTCAAACCTCCAGTTGCAATGCTTAAGGATACTTTGGAGAGAATATTAAATGATCCAGGACGTATTAAAAGAAGATGGAAAGAGTATACAGAGTCATTATACTGAAAGGAACTGGCAGACACAGAAGAATTTCATGAAACAACATATAAGCAAGAGCCTATGATGATGAAGGAAGAAGTTCAAGCTGCTTTGAAAGAATTGGTGAAAAATAAGGCCCCAGGAATTGATGGTATACCAATTGATGTACTTCAACTAACAGATGCTACCCTGGATGTGCTCACCAAGTTGTGTCAAGAAATCTGAACGACACTTCAGATTCAGAAGGACACTTAGCCAACTGACTGAAAGAGAACTATATTTGTTCCCATTCCAAGGCAAGGTGATCCAACAGAGTGTGGAAATTATCAAGCAATATTGATATCACATGCAAGTAAGATTCTGCTGAAGATTATCCAAAATGACTGGAAGACCACATCAGCAGAGACCTGCCAGAAGTCCAGGCTGGGTTTAGAAGGGGTCATAGTACTAGGGATATTGTAGCTAATGTTAGATTGATCTGTATTTCCTTGATTATGCAAAGGCATTTGACTGTGTGGATCATAACAAACTGTGGCTGACTCTGAGAAAAATGGGAATCCTAGAACACTTGATCGTGCTAATGTGAAACCTAGACTTGGACCAGAATACAGTCATCAGAACAGAGCAAAGAAACACTGCAGGGTTCAAAATCAGAAACGGTGTAGGCCAGGGATGCATCCTATCTCCATACCTTTTCTATCTGTATGTTGTTGTTATGTGCTGTTGAGTCGCCTGCAATTCATAGCAACCCTATGTACAACAGCCCTAAACCTTGCTCTATCCTGTGCCAATCTCATTGTCTGTCAGATGAAGCTTCAGAATCCTTGCCTCCAAGTAGAAGTCTGGTTTCACCCGCTCCTGGACGAACCTGTTCATTCTCTTAGCAGTCCATGGTATATTCAATACTCTTCTCCAACACCAGAGCTCAAGGGTATCAATTCTCCTTCTATCATCCCTAGTCAATGTGCAGCTCTCTGATGCATAGCAAGTGATTGCAAAGACCATGGCCTGTATCAGGTGCAACTTAGTCTCCAGACTGACGTTGTTGCTCTTCAGTATTTCAGCTGTTGTTGTTATGTGCCATCGAGTCGTTTGCGACTCATAGCGACCCTATGTACAACAGCCCTAAACTCCGCTCTATCCTGTGCCAATCGCACTGTCTCTGACACTCCCATCCCAATTATCCCAGTCACTGAATCAATCCACCTCATAGAGGGCCTTCCTCTCCTGCGCTGT